AGTAGTAGTAGTAGTAGTAGAATTGCTAGTAGCAGCCGGTTGGTAGTACTTCGGTGTTGTGGTTGATGCTACTCTTGTTGTCGCTACTGCTATTGGTATCAACACTATTTCATCATCAAACCTGGCTCATGCACCTGCGTGTATCCGATGGCTTCATCTGTCACTTCGGCCCAGAGAGTACTAAGCATCCGGAGAGTATGATTTAGTAACAAAGACTGAGACATGCTGATATCATCTGAAACAACACCAATGTCAACAAAAAGAGCCCAAAACCGCAAACAAGCGTTCAGAACATTCAGCGTGTCGGGATTCGAAACCCAAGGCTTGGCCACGGCCCACGGAAGTGACAGGTCTACAGGCTTCGCCAGTACTTCCCACTGGCTTTTCATGTCAAGTGAAACTTAAGATCTGGCTGAGGCTACTCGTTGTTCGTTCGAGAAGAACATGCTTTACCATGCTTGATGTTGTTTTTGCACTAGCCGTTGCTTCTGTCCCGGGTCTTACCACTGCACTTACAGCCCCGCTGGTTGACAGGCGCTACTGCTACCTAGCACGGTTGCGCACATCCTTTCCCCAATCGGGCTTGGATGGATGGAGTTGCCGAGAGCGGCATTCCGAGAGAGACGGCAATAGCAGTGTGAAACTTGGGCCACATATGTAGGCCTTTGGGTGCAGCCATCTCGGCTGGCAGCTACAGGAGCCGCAGTACTATGTACTCACCATCGATGGTATCTTTTACCACCAGTGAATCAGGCACGTGCCCTGACGTAATGCACTATTTTCAGCTGCACTACTGGCACCAACCAAAGTGCTTGAGGCGCTGTGGTCTGATTGTGTAGACAACTGAAGACACCCGTTTGCACGTGCAATTAACAAGCTGTTCAACATGCCCGGGACGATGCCCACAGTCAACACTACTCCCAATCTGAACCGTGTCCGCTCCATGTTGGCTTAGCCGTGTAGCGTACCAGCGCATATGGTCGCTTCCAGTCTTTCGGCACACGGGCCACGACTTCGATTCGGAGCTCGGCATCCCAAAGCTTAATCCAGCTAAGCTTGACAACAATGTCTGCACCAAGCGGGTCATCCATGTGACATAGGTAAAGCTGATCTTCGGGGGCAGGCAAAACACCCACTGTCGCGACTCCAGGCGCCGACTCCAGGTATTCGGTGTCCGGACCATTTTCCAGCCCATCTTCTAAGCAGGATTCTATGCGCGTGCATGGGAACAGGGATTTGCACTCTCTGTGGATTCGGCAAGCATCGTTCTCCGAGATGCCCCCGCCATTCAGTTTGAGATCAACTAACGACGGCAAATGCTGTAAGCCGACATCAAGGCGTCCCTTGCAGAGTGTCTCTATGGTGCGAATGCGCTCCACAACTTGTCTATCAGCATAGACAGGACAAGTGGCATCCAGGACCTTCTGCAGGACTTCGCAAGCTCGCTTGCGACGCCAACCATCGACCACTTCGATCAGCCAGGAACCGGGCTTCTGTCCTTCCCGCTGTCGCTTTTCTTGCCACTTCATGAGCAGGTGCTCGTCCGCAAGCTCTGCCAACTCTTGCAGGCTGGCGGATTCTGGGAGAACGAAATTGACCGAGAAACCCAGGCCCTGGACCTTCACTTCCACGTGGTCCGCCTCATCTCCGAAAAGTAGCCGGGAGAGCGGGGCAGCATTGAGACTCTGCTCTGCCAAGGCCACCCATTTTCGCACATCATCAAGGAACCACTCCTCCAAGGCCCCCCGGAGCTTCCTTGCGAGCCCCACAGGCAAGTCCTTCTGAGGAGGCTTCTCTCCGAAGGAGAAGGGCAAGGGCAACTGGCGCAAGGTCAAAGAGCCTCGCGTCTCCGCCAAGCCTCCCACGAGGTAATCTGCCAACATCTCCTTCTCCACGAGGCCCTGCCATGTCTGAGCATCCTGGGTTCAGTCTTCAGAAGTTGACGAGAAAGTTACCACAAGAGGAAGTACAATCACTGGCACTACATTCCTAACTTTGCTTCTGCCGGATTGGACACTCATAGCCACCTGCCTCAAGAAGAGCCAAGCATCGGGAACAATCTTGCGGAGCCGCTCGTTGGCCTTGCAGTTGATCTCCTCGATGATACGTTCGCATCCCTTTCGAAGCCCTGGGACTTCCAGATAGTTTCGGCGGAAGTAGACAAGCTTCCGGCGTGGGATTCGGTCCGGATCTACGTAGCTGGTCTTCAAGAAGAGCGCCAACTCTTTCTTGAAGCATTGCTCCAGCTGCTGTAAGCTCCTGCCGGCCCACCATTCCTCTCTTTCCTCCTTCACGCGGCTTCGTTTTACGGCTGCTGGGTCCGCCTTGGGTACAGTCCCTTGCGAGCCTGTGGCAGCCTCCGGGTCCTCCTCCGGCTGTGCACGTGCCGCCGGGCGCTTCGCTACACGCTTGGCTTTGGGCGGCATGGGTCTACACAGCCTCTATGTCTCACTGAACCGACTGTCTGTCACTATGGTCTGATGCCTAGCAGAGTATGCAATAGGTGGACGAAGACTTGAGATACTAATCACGAGTCCGCGTCAGTTGCGGCTGCGACTGCCCCTTTGCACATTGCAGTCAAAACTTGTCGAGTATCTGCTTGGGAGGGCCATGCAAACGAAGGAACGATCAAAGGTGCAGGACACAGTCCCCGAGATATCCCGATATGTTTATTTCCAACATGCTAGTTGCTTGCGGTCCTCTTGCTCGCCTGCCTCCTTCAGGCATCTAATACACATCATTTGCACTGGAGGCATATGTATGAGATTCCGATAGGATACCACGACCTAAGAAGAAATGTCTTCAACACCTCACAACGAGCCCGACGCGCAGAAAGCCGCTCGCAGTGGCAATGCCCCACTCGCAGGCCGAGCCCCATGCCCAGTCTTTCTGGTCCTCCTCATCCTCCCAGACGATGATGGTCTTCTGAGCGCCTGAGGCCCAAACCCTGATCCACCGTACGGAAGCTTAGGGGACTTCGGGTATTGGGGTATGTTGTACTATCAGTCTATCAAAACTCTTCCCTTACTGTTGTGCCTTCGCCCTGCAGCTGGTAGACATCCTGCGCAAAGACCGGCCGGTCATGGAGCACCTGCCCACCTCAGGCGGCCGGCTTCATTCGGTTCCCTTTTGCTCCGCCGAAGCATCGGAATGCCACAAAGGCTGTGAGGGGACGGAGCCTCGCATTCCCAGGTGCTTCCGCCTACTGAGCCCACCTATAGCAACCCTGTGGGCTCGGGCGCACAGGAACACTTTGTCTAACGCCACCGTATTCAGCATGGATGTCGTGGCACAGTACGAGTGGGTATGATCATGCTGGGACACGGAGTGATGGCAAACAGGTACATGGTATGCTCTCAGCCGTCATTGCACCAGCATGGAGTCAACGGCATCAACACTGAAATCACTAGAACTGAATTTCAGAACTTCGCTGCTGCAATGAGCCCCGTTCGGGTTAGGGTTTCGGATTGTTACAAATCCTGCGAAACCCCGGTCGCAAGTTGCACAAACGATCCAGGCCTGTCAGCTCCCCTTGAATAAAGCATGCTGTGTATCATCGTCTGACACAAAAGCTGACCCAAGGCCCTCACTATCCTCATCTTTGAACTGCAGTCGGCGCTGCTGCCCGGTTCCCACGACGGACCTCAATTGTCAGCTCGGCACGGCATGTTGGTGTTCAGGTTCCATGCATCTGTTCCGCGCTGCTTAGTTTACCTCACGGTCTGCAGTCGTATGCAGTTCGCTGGGCGCCACGCGCATGACCGGTCCCGGCCTCTTGCCAGGCGGCGGCATCGTTCAGGATGTAGAGTTTCCCTCGATACCTCTGCCGCAAGAGGGCAGCATCTGTCATGTAGCGGGGAACGCCACAAACCAAGCACAAATGACGACAACGTGATTAGCTGAGCCGAAAACGAAACCTAGTTACTTTCCAAATGGCCTCTAACTTGGAATCTGAATCTGAAAGTTGACCGCATTCTGCCAGGCAAGATGTCGTTAAGTGTCAGGCTTCTGCTTGTTGCCCTCCACATCCATGGACTGGCTCCTGACGATTGAGGCACCAAAGGCCCGAGAAAAAACTCGTGTCGCGACCAAAGGCTTGATCGTCAGAGCATCATTCACAGAGTCACGGGTTCTCATGCTTCGTGAATGACATTGAAAAGCACTGAAGATTTCCCTTTTGCAACAACTATGAGTGGATCCTAGAGCGCACCAGGTTCTCAAAATCCTGCAGGAAGTCATACCCACAAAATCTCAACGCATGTTCAAATCTGGTGTCCTCCCCGTCTCCAGCCGAAACCGGGCGTTGGGACCACCTTGTGTACATGGCACGACTGGCTTCCGCAACGAATGGTTTGAGATTGAGCAGAATCTTCAGCACATGATGCACCTGCAAGGTGATTTCCCAGTGCCTTGTTGCGTACTCAAGACAACAGTGGCACACGCTAACAATCAAACTGGCAATGAGTTGCAGCATTATTACACGTAAACTGCCCCTGCGCTGTGATGTAATAGAACTGCTAAGCTCAAAGGACCATGTTGCAACTAATAATGTTTTGACAAGCAAACGTTCACAGAGTGATGATCCTTTGTAACTTTGGCGATGCATGCTGTCAATAATCGTCGATGGCTCACACTGGGAACTCATTCTACTCTTTGGACTTACAATACTCACTCACTCGTCCTCCTCATTATTCTCACGCAATCCGTCCCTCGATCTCCGCAACTTGTTCACTCTTGTCTTTCTTCTGCCGCGAGTCAACGTCACTTCACATGATCGTTTGTGACCCGTGTGATCGCCATTGTTGTCCAATTCCTGCATGATTGCTGATCGCAGGGTCAGTATGTGCAGTACGACCAGCATTGATCAGCGTCATCAGTCTGACCAGTAAGATTGTTGTCACCATTCGTTGCTGCCTTTCGAAAGTCGTCCATAACTCGTACGTACAGTCCTTCGAAAGTGTCCATATCACGCACTGTCTACATACATTACAATTGCATCTCTGAAAACTCCTTTGACATGCTCAAATTGACTTGCCTCTCCAGCACCGCCATGCGCGACCTGCGCGGTTTCCTGCGCCCCTGTCCCACCACACTGGAGCCAAAGCCAACGGGGCCATGATGTTTGGCCTGCGGGGACTTGTACGCAGCGAAAAATAGTGGCTCACGATACAGCGGGGTCTCCCTTGTCACACTCGGTCGGGAAGGTGCGGCACATACATACATACATACATACATACATACATACATACATGTATGTATGTATGTATGTATGTATGTATGTATGTATGTATGTATACATATATATATATACATGTATAGAAACATATCTATATACGGATAAATAAACAAATATATATATATATGTACATATATATATATATGTAAATACAAATATAAAAATAGATATACATATAATTATAAATGTACATATAAATATAAACACAAGTATATAAATATAAACACAAGTATATAAATAAACACAAGTATATAAATATAAACACAAGTATATAAACACAAGTATATAAATATAAA